CAAACATTTTCTGTTGTATAGGTTTTGTTAGGAAACATAAATTAACACATTTTGGTCTCTTTATTGTCTTAATTGTATAGTGATTTAGTAATTGCAGCACAATGCCAAGAAAGGAGGGTTAATTGTATTGAAAAATCTTAAAAGCTGTTCACATTTTATTTTTAAGTGGTTTGTACAAAATCAGCAGGTATTAAAATAGCTATTATTTTGTAGGCTACCATAAGTCATATCCACATGACAAGACTTCCAGTCATGTTGCCCTAATAATTATTTAAACTAATGTGGAATATTTGTTAAAGCTATTATTATTATTATTGTTTTTATTATTATTATTATTATCATTATTATTGTCATGATGGTTATTTTTTATTATATTGTAGCCAGTCACAGCAGGGAGCATCAACATCTACCAGGACAGGAGATGAGGAAGAGTTCAGGAAAGACACAGAGACAGAAAAAGACCAGGATGAGGGAGAACAGCAGGATCAGGGAGACCACCAGGATGAGGGAGAACAGCAGGATGAGGGACAACAGATGGATGAGGGAGAGCAGATGGGTGAGGGAGAGCAGATGGATGAGGGAGAGCAGATGGGTGAGGGAAAACAGGGAGATGAGCCAGATGAAAAAAGAAGAAAGATGAGCAAGATAGCGACTTTGCCGTATCCCACAGATCCTTCACATGTTTCAGCATTTAAAATCAAGGGTGATGAATACATTTCAATGTGCTGCAGTCGGGGCCCATGCCAGCCAGATATACAATACCCAAAAAATACAGAGGGGAGATCCTTCCAGAAGCAGTGGTTTTCAGGGAATGTGTGGCTGGAATACTCCCCTGCTGGTAATTCCATGCATTGTTTTAGCTGTCGGCTTTTCTTCTCTGAGGAAAAATACAAAAGTAAAACAGCCTGGACAACTGATGGCATCAGAAAGTGGAGCACTGCTCTTGAAAAAAATCAAGCAACACTCCATCACAGAGATGCACATGACAAGCATGGTTCGATGGACCAACTTCCAAAAAAAGCTCCTCCAGTCCGCATTTGATGTTTCAGATGTAAAGGGGGTGGAAGTTAGAGAGCGAGAGAGGCAGGCAAATAGGGAAGTCCTGACCAGATTGATTGACCTCACAGTGTATCTTGCACGTCAGGGACAAGCATTTAGAGGTCATGATGAGAGTGAGTCCAGTGACAACCGTGGCAATTTCCGTGAATTGGTGAATGTGTTTGCTCGATATGACAGTGTCCTGAAAATGCATTTGGAAAAGGTTTCGAAAGCTAAAGCCACCAAGACTAGGCCCCAGGTGTCACNATAATATGGAATAGGTTACATACGATTATAGAAATATCTAAACACTGTGGCTATAAGGCATGCAATATAATAGACCTATATATACAGTAAGATAAAAATGTAGAATGATAATCCCTATGGTCTAATGTGATAAAAAAGTGATTTATAAAAAAATTTGAAAAACATTTGTCCATAGCTGGGATTGAACCCTCAACCTTCAAAGCTGCACTCCACTCCCTCTACCCTCTACACCAACAGCCCGGAACGTGTAAAGCTCATTCCAGTTTCCTAATTGACCTATCTACTGCTGACTCATAGGACGCCGAAATGGACTCAGACTGCCACCTAGTGGCTATAGTAGTCACATGTTTTTCACACAATATGTGAAACACGCGGAGCGTGAGTGAAGTGTCCATTTCCAACCAGCGCCCACTGTTAAAAAAAAAGAGAAAATACAGTACTCATACTCATCGTCTCCTGCTTCATCCAGGATTGGGTCATGGAGGCAGCAGTCTCAGCAAAGATTCTCACACTTTCCCTCAGAGACTAAAACTGGTAGTTGGTTCCACATGGAATGAGCCTGATAACTAAACCACGTGGCTCCCGTTGTTTTTCTTTTATAAACTCTAGAAACCACTAGTAAGCCTGAAGTTTGAGAGTAAGGTGCTTTATTACGAACACAAGGAAAGTCAGATCTTTCACATGTCACATACGATGGGGCTTGGTCATTTAGGGCTTTATATGTGGCTTTGACCGGAAGCTGATCAATTGAAGCTAAGATACAGTAGGAGAAATAGGGGTGATGTCTGCTTGACTTTCATCGGAACACTGGCTGCAGCGTCTCAGATCACCTAAAGGCTTTTAACAACATTTTGTGTCTAAGCGTCTACCCCACATGCAGAAACACTCTTCAGACGGAAAAAGTTAAATGGTTTATTTACAAGGTTTACAATGAAATGTGCACAGGGTCTTGGCTCCTCAGACTGGTCACGGGAGGGAAGCCACTAGAGGAGGACAGATCTGTTAGAGTGGATCCAGGAAACTTGCAGTTAAACGGCGGCTTGGATTAATACCTGCTCAGAGGGTATTCGGATCAGCAGGGGGGGAACCTTGTGGGTCCAGAGGCTGGTTGGCAGGCTGAGGGCTGAGGGCAGAGGCTGAGGCGGAGGGCAGACAGGCAGGTTCCAGGCAGCGATTGTTTTCTCCAGGATAAAACTGATATCCAGATAAGTCAGGATCTGAGAGGCAGAAGAACACAGGGTCAGACTAGATCACAAAAAATCTGAGAAACAGATCAGAGAAGCTGGCTCAGGTTTTGCTGGTACCATTACTGGCAAAAACTCTGGCAGGGAAGTGTCAGCCTCCTCCTCCTTAAGTAGGCCTCATGATGAGCAGATGGGAAACAGGTGTGTCGAAGTCAGCTCACGCCCTCAGGAGGAAGATCTCAGGCGCACTCTGGTGGAGAAAGTTAGACAAGCCTCCAGATCCCAACACCTTTATGCTCATTCCAGGAGTTGAGGTAAGCTTAAGGGCTAAAAATATCCATCTGCCATCCTACTGAAAGTAAGATAAACACAGTACAGTATAAATTTGGAATTGAAAAATATTTATAACTCTATATTTTGTTTCTGAAAACTATTCTGAATCAAACAAAAAGGCTTACAACAATTGTACTTGGTTTAAATTTCAAAAGGAATTGAATTAAAGGTTGAAAAGGTTGTTTACAAGAATAAAGGTCATCCTGTTTGCGCAGATAAGTGTTAAGCCATCCATGGAGATCCCTTTGTCTGGGAAAAGTCTATCTAACCAGATCTCCATGAAGCACATGATACTTGCGCCTCTGTTCCCCCCTGGAAGTGGGTTAAAGCTGTGTTGAACCAGATCTGCTATTTACACAGCTTTTCTAAGAGACTTTTGTATAAAATATCGAAACAATTCAGATAAAAAGTTTATTTGAGTTCTATAAATTAAAGTTTTCACCCCAACTGCAATGATGACCTGCATGCCAGCATTGTATCTCCAGCAACTGTAGTATCTAGGCAAGAGTAAGTCTGGTAAGATATCTGCTATTCAAAATTGTAAAGTTTAGCTGTTTTATGAATTGCAACATAAAACTCACTGATAAATAGACTAAAACCTTTTACAGTTTCAGTCGACTAAAACTGGACCAAAACATCACATATAGTAATGACTAAAATGTGACTAAAACTAATAATAGTTTTCGTCCTTGAAGATGAAAACTAAGACTAAATTTAAGATGTCAAAAACAATACTGCCTGTGATATAGTTGTAAATGCAACCTTACCTGTTTCAGTCTGTATGATGACAAGGAAGACTACACTACATAAGGTATAAAGCAAGTGATGAATAATTTATAAAGATATGCTTCGAAATATTTTTGCTTGTATTTCAGATGTAAACACCCATCAATTTTGATATAAGAAATTTCACATTCATGATTTTCACTTCTACAGCTAAATGTTTACTTGTACAAATATTCCGCAGTCATGCAAAATCAAGTCTAAAGAGTGTAATATGTGTTCACCTGACAAAAACAATTAGGCCCTAATTTATTACATGTTTACATTTCTTTAAACTTTGGTCAATTTTCCTACTTAAGCCCCTCCCCCCTGCAACTTTCAGCTTGGTTTTGATTCAAACAGCTTTAAGAAAGATAGCAGTATTATGTCCATATTTATGTTAAATTTAAAACGGATATACTCTCTGAAAAAGAGGTCAATTACAAAGAGGCAAAAATTACATAAGAGTAAAAATCCTACGCATATCACAAAATGCTGGTAGGTGTTTCAAAGTTGAATGACTTTGAACATGAGCAAAAGGAAATGTAACAGTCTTGATTTTTTAGAACATTTTCTCCAAGTTTCCATAAGAAAAGATAAGCTGGGACCTACACCATCACTACAGGGGATGAAGTGGGTACTGGTCTCCAGACACTCTGGAGTGAGCTTCAGACACACAAAGCAGAACTCCACCTGGCAGCGAGGACAGATGATGTTCTTGCAGCCTGTCTTGTCGTGCTCCACCCTCTGACCACAGGTGGGACAGGCCCGGATGGTGGGACAGGCATCGACCCCCTCCACCTCAGGCAGGGTGGTGTCCTTGCAAGTCCTGAGCAGTTCCAGGTCACGGTTGATGCAACCATCATTATCACAGCGATCAGAGCGAGGAGCTGGACCTTTCCAAGGCATCAGGCACTGCCAGCAGAACTGGAACCCATCATCGTTATCTTCTGCACATACTAAACACTCTACACAGAGGTCGGTCAGGTCCGCCCTCTCAACGTAGGTCTTACAGCCTGGACACTGTTGGACAGAAAATATATTAAAATATAGTTGCATATTGCTAAAAACTGAAATACTGCATAATAAAATCATTTTAAATTGTCCTGGCATTTTAAAATCACAGTATTCTGCAGCTGCCAGGCGAGCCGTGTTCTCTTCAAAGTGCTGCATTTCTGCAGCTGTCAGGACAGCCAGGCGGCGAACCTCCTGATAAGACCACAGAGCACCACACAGGGTGCCATCTTTCAAAGCCGGACACTTTGTACTGGCCCTAAAAGATCAAACATAGACAACGTATAGGCAGAAAACTTAGAGATTTTAAATACTTGAAAGTAAAATGTGATAATTATTTCTTTTCACACCTTCAACGGGAAATTACTGAGAACCATAAATAAAATATTGACCCATAATCAATAGAAAAGGGAGGATTTTTTTTTGTATTGAGGGAGCCATATTATGAAGTAATATGGGATGCTGACAAAGTAAGTCAACCATCTAAATAATGATGTAGTTTAAACATGCGACTATATCCTGGTGCCAAAATATGTCCAAGATGTTTCATTTTTGACATCTTGAACTTAATGCTGGAAATTTGCAGAAGAACCTGTGCTATGCCTGAATCTATACCTAAAAACAAATGTTTTTTTGAGAAAAAGTTAAGTAAACCTTAAATAAAAGTAGAATACAGTGATGTCACCAGGCCTATTTTAGTGGGGCTGCACCCCCCCTCTAATTGTTGATGACACACCCAGGCCCAAACATTTTTTAGAACTAGATATAAATATGAAAGAAAGAAGCTGAAAAAAATACAATTCTTCTCATCTTCCATTGTAACCACTGTATTTATAAACATATAAATCAGACTATTTCAAAATAGCTAAATATGGCTTCCATTTGATTCACATTTGTATTTAAAATGAAATCTGGGCTACTTCAAAATATTTAGGAACAAATTATGACTTTGTTGTGAGCAGAGGTCACATTTATTAAATGTACTGTGTTTCAAGATGGATCTGGCAGAGCTTAGAGGTTAAGGGGCAAACAGATCAGCAAAAATATTTCCTATATTCGTTGTTGTTTTGTATAGAAAATATATAAATATAGAAAATATAGAATGCCGGAGATAGGCACCAACCCCACCACAACCCTGACAGTGTTGGGATCTGGGGATGTACCACCTTCCTCCAGCAGAGTGCGCCGTGGGTCTCCTGGGCTGGAGCC